ATAATACCCTGAAGAATATTTTCCAGCTTGGATTCATTCTCTTCATGACATTCAGGTACACCTATCAAATGTAAATTAGGTCTTTTCACATAGTCCCATATTTCTTGGAGACTTTGCTCATTCCTTTTTACTCTTTCTTCTCTAATCTTGTCATCTCGTTTCATTTCATTACGTTGGTCTTTGACCTCTGATATCCTTTCTTCTGCTTGATCAATTCGACTGCTAAAACCTGTGCATACTTCGCGGAGTTCTTGTATTGTATTCTTCAGTTCCATTAATTCACTTATATTACTCTCTAAATTGTCTATTCTTGTTAGGATTTCGTCAAACCTTTTTTCAAGGTTCTTAGTTTCTTCACATTGGGCTAGAACATGTTCTTTTAACTCACAGAAGTTTCTTATCCACCTTCTGAAGCCTAAATCTGTTAATGGAACGCGCTCGTTCTCCATCAGGCCTTGTTCCCTTGTTGATGAGGAACTGTGATCCCCTGTAAAGGGAGAGGAATTCTGATTTTGGGTATTCTCAGCCTTTTTACGCTGGTTTCTTCCCATCATTGTAAATTTATCCACCTGTTGTCTTTGTAATTACCGACTTTCAGATTAGGTCTCTGAGTGGACGTCCAACTTGTTGATTCCCAGCGCTGGAATCTGAGCAACCCACTGTGCCGGCCAAAACAGCGACGTTAAGATTCATGGTGCTTTTCTGCCTGGGAATCTCCAGTCTGGCTTCCTTCTTGAGTCCCGTTTTCAATCAGCTGAATAGGCTACTCTGCCTTCCCGGAGCGCCAAGCTTCGACCAAAAGGGGACCCAGTCCCGTTTACTCTGCACCAACAACCACCACACCGGGGCGCTGGCAAAACCGCGCCGGCCACAAGAGTCACGCTAGCGACTCGTGGGGCTCCTCTGCTGGGAATCTCCTTGTCCGTGAGCAACAAAAATTCATCTGAAAGTGTGGCATCCTCACATTCTCTGCGCTTTCACTGGGAGCTACAATCCTGAGCTGCTAGTAATCAGCCATCTTGGATCTCTCTCCCATGAACTATGGTATATGTCTTTCTGTGCCTGACTTATTTCACTTAATGTAACATCCTCCAGGTTCATCCCTGGTGTTGCAAAGGACAAGGTTTTCTTCTTTCTTAAGGCAGAATAGTGTGTGTGTGTGTGTGTGTGTGTGTGTGTGTGTGTGTGTGTGCGCGCGCGCGCGCACATACACATGCATGCATACTACATTTTATTTATCCATTCATTCATCTGTTGATGGACACTTGGGCTGATTGCATATCTTGGCTGTGTGAATATGCTACAATAAACATGGGGTGCAGATAGCTCATGGAGGAACTTTATAGTAACTAAACATTCTTTAAAAAGAAGAAACATCTCAAATCAATGATATTAGCTTCCACTTAAAAAAAAAAAAAAAAAAAGGAAAATAACCCCCAAAGGTGATAAAAGAAACAAAATGATAAAAATAACAGAAGAAATCAATTAAATATAAAACAAAGAAACGACACGGAAAATCAATGAAACCAGAAGCTTATCATCTGTGAAGATTAATAACATTGATAAAGAAAAAATAGAAAAGAAATAGTTTACCAATATCAGGAAAGAGAGTTGAAATTATTATAGAGTCTATAAATATTTAAATAGTAAGGAAAATTATGAAAACTATGGCAAAGGCCGGGCGCGGTGTCTTAAGCCTGTAATCCCAGCACTTTGGGAGGCCAAGGTGGGTGGATCACGAGGTCAAGAGATCGAGACCATCCTGGTCAACATGGTGAAACCCCGTCTCTACTAAAAATGCAGAAAATTAGCTGGGCATGGTGGCACGTGCCTGTAATCCCAGCTACTCAGGAGGCTGAGGCAGGAGAATTGCCTGAACCCAGGAGGCGGAGGTTGCGGTGAGCCGAGATCGCACCATTGCACTCCAGCCTGGGTAACATGAGTGAAACTCCATCTCAAAAAAAAAAACTATGGCAAAAAGTTTGGCAACTTAGATGATTTGGATGAATTCCTCAGAAGACACAAACCACAAAAGCTCACTAAGGGAGAAATAGATAACCTGAACAGCCATATAGTTATTTTAAAAATTGAATTTGTAGCTAAAAACTTTTCTACAAAGAAAACTCTAGGCCCATATGACTCTACTAGTGAGTTCTATCAAACATTTATGAAAGAAGCATTATCTATTCTATACAAACTCAGAAAATTAACAGGAAGTACTATTTTCCATCTGATTCTATGAGGCCGGTATCACACTGATCTCAAAACCGACAAAGACGTCACAAAAAAGGAAACTACAGACCAATACCCTTATGAACATAGATGCAAAAATACTAAACAAAATTTTGGCAAATTAAATTTAACAACATAAAACAAGTGTACTACATCATGGGATAAACACAATGGAAGTGGGTTTAACCAGGAATGCAAGGTTGGTTTAATGTTTGATAATCAAGGTAGCTCAGCATATTAACAAGCACATATATATATTCATTATATTAGAGACTTGAAAAACATTTGATAAAAATCCAACATTCATTCCTGATTAAAAATTATCTGCGAGCTAGAAATAAACAGAATTTCTCACCCTGACTAAAACATCTACAAAAAAAATCGGCAGCCAACATCATACTTAAAGGTGAAAGACTTAATGGTTTTCCTCTAAAATTGGGAGCAAGTAAAGAATGGTTGTTCTTACCATTCTGATTCAAAATTGCACTGGAGGGTTTATCTATTATTCCACTCTCTATGTCTACATGTACACATTGTTTTGCACCCACTTATGAATAGGACGTGTGATAATGGACTTTCTGTGCCTGGCTTCTTTCACTTAAGATGATGATCTCCAGTTGTACCCATGTTGCTATAAAACACATGATTTTATTCCTTTTTATGGCTAAATAGTATTCAATGGTGTATATATACCACATTTTATCTAACCATTCATCTGTTGATTCCTTATCTTTGCTATTGTAAATAGTATTTGGACCACATTTCAAGTACCTAATTAGTGGCCACATGCAGCAAGTGACTACCGTATTGGACAGTGTAGCCCTAACCCACTGTATGACCTTGGGTAAGACTCTCAAACTGTCACAGCTTCGCTGTCTCCGTCTATGAAAGGGGGATGGCAACAATACCTCCCTAAAAGGGTAAAAAGACTGAGTAACTGTGTGTTAAGCACTTCATGCCTCCCCCATCAGTGCTTCCCCCTGGGGCTGGAATGAGGAACCAGTCTTAGTGTCAGATGACACAGCACAATAAGACTCACGTCCTAGGGTCAGAAAAGTCCATGCTGGCATCTCTTCAGGGTCAGAAAAGTACAGCTTCCACCTCTTAACAATCATGACTGTTTGTCCACTCCTCCTCGGTCAAATAAACTTCCGGGATCAGAGTCCTGGATCTAGCAAAGATTTTGCTTAACATTGCAAGAAAGATGTGGCTTCATAGCCAAAAGTCAGGCATCGGATGAGACAGGCAAACATGGACACATTCACTATCAAAGTTTGCAAATAGGGACTGACCCTGCCAGAGGCTATGTGAGTGCAGGCTCACAGTGAAGATAGAGATAGAGACATATGGGAGTCCAGCAGACGTCAATCAAAGTGGACCCAGTTTCTGCACACCTGGAGCTCAAGAGTCTCCATGGGAAAAACAGAGACACAAAGTTAGAGAGAGATAGAGCCAGAGAAACTTCCTGCACTGTGAAGATAGTCAGAGGCAGGGAAGAAACTCCTCAGCACTAGTTAGAATGATCAGAAACCAAGAGGCCCTGACTGCTGCACCTGCCAGGTCTCAGTTTCTGTCTCCCTCCAACTGACCACCTTTTCCTCTGAGGCTCACCAGTTCTGCGACTCTTGCCCCTCCTTCTGTTTCCCCTGTCACTTCCACCTATGGCTGTGACAGAAGGGGAAGATGAAGGAGGGAACACTGGACATAGACCCTGAGCATCTTCAGGCTTCCAAAGAGAGGGGCTAGGAGATGCACCAACACACAAGCACAAATACACCAGCACACACAGATACATGCAATTGGTTTACATATTGCTAGGTTACTGTTTGCTATGCTACAAAGGCAGTGGGCCAAATTGGATTAAATTGAATGATTCCTTCGTTTGGTCAGCTTCTCAATTTTTTAGTTTTTATTTATTTATTCGTTTTTTTGAGATGGAGTTACACTGTCGCCCAGGCTGGAGTGCAATGGTGCAATCTCGGCTCACTGCAGCCTCCGACACCTGGGTTTAAGCAGTTCTCTTGCCTCAGCCTCCTGAGTAGCTAGCATTACAGGTACCTGCTACCACGTCCAGCTAATTTTTGTATTTTTAGTAGAGACGGGGTTTTGCCATGTTGGCCAGGCTGGTCTTGAACTCCTGACCTCAAGTGGTCTGCCCTCCTCGGCTTCCCATAGTGCTGGGATTATAGGCACGTGCCATCACACCCAGCCAGCCTCTCAATTTTGAACATACACTACCACCACCTCCACAACACACAAATGTAAATGCATTTTCACAAATGAAACTGTATACATACAAGGAAGCTCCCATACATGCAAGGACATACACAGAAGCACCCCCAGATTCAACCACAGAAACACACATGAGCACATTTGCATAAATACAAACACCCCTTTACATATGAAAATCACAGAAGCAAATACATGGATGGAAATAGGCATGGACAAATGCATGCAAGCATAAACAGACAAAGCTAAGTAAAAAAGTGCATGCTCACCCATGTTTACAAAAATACACATGCACATACCCACACAGCCGCACATTTACATGCTCAAGTGGACTTTGGCATCTCTGCCACCGTATCCCTGCCAACATCTAGAGAGTGGGTAAAGGGATAGGGATCAGGTCGCTGGGTTGCCCGAGCAGGAACTCTGGGTTTCCTAACACCTTTTTCTAAGCTAAACTCATGCCCCTGCACAATGATGAGAAAGGAGGCGGGGAGTGGATGAAGTTTCATAACTGGGTGGAGAGGCAGGTTCAAGATAAAAGGCCGAGTTGGAGGCTGCAGCGGGGTGCAGGGCAGTCAGACCAGGACCATGGAGCTCAGCGTCTTCCTCTTCCTTGCACTCCTCACAGGCCTTTTGCTTCTCCTGGTCCAGCGTCACTCTAAGGCCCATGGCCGCCTCCCACCAGGCCCCCGCCCTCTGCCCCTTTTGGGGAACCTTCTGCAGATGGACAGAAGAGGCCTACTAAAATCCTTTCTGAAAGTAAGACACAGATGAATGGGGTCTGTGGGTGGACTGCTTCTTGCCTCAGTACTTGGGGATCCTTCACCAGACAGAGTGAGGCAGCCTTCCAGAGTCGGGGTGGCACGGGGATGGTTGGTGAGTATGGAGTGGGGTGACACATGATGGGTGGTATTATTAGGAGAAAAACATCAGTCAAATTGAATTTAGTGGAGTGTATTTGAGCAAAGAAGTGACTCAAGAATTGGACAGCACCCTAAACCAGTAAAAAGGGACCACACGGCAGTATGGGCAAGCGGTATTTACAGACAGAAAAAGAAAGTGACATGCAGCCTGACCGGCCACAGCTCACAGCTTGGATACAGCCTGAGCAGTTTTCAGCCTGTGATGGATTGACAGCTAAGCTGCTCTGATTGGCCAACACTTGGCTACTTGTCACAAGAATATACTCCTTTGTGTCAGGTACAGTGGCTCATGCCTGTAATCCCAGCACTCTGGGAGGCCGAGGCGGTGGATCATCTGAGGTCAGGAGTTCAAGACCAGTCTGCCCAACATGGCAAAATCCTATCTTTACTAAAAATACAAAAATTAGCTGGGCATGGTGGCACTTGCCTGTAATTCCAGCTACCCAGGAGACTGAGGCAGGAGAATCACTTGAATCCAGGAGGTGGAGCTTGCAGTGAGCTGAGATAGGGCCACTGCATTCTAACCTGGGCAATAGAGTGAGCTTCTGTCTCAAAAAAAAAAAAAGAAAGAAAGAAAGAATATACTCCCAAGTTAGGTTGCAGTTTTCACTCCATATAGAGCTTTAGGTCAAATTTAATTTAATTAAACAATTCTCCTCTTTTGGTCACCCTCAAAATTTTGAGGGTGACCAAAATCTTGGGTGTCACCATTACTTCTTTCACCATCGTAAGGGACCTGTTGGTCTCCGTATGGAATTTGCAATGGGTAATGTCAAAGTAGTTGGGTGATTCTTTATGGTTTCTTCATGTTTTTGTTATTCTTACTGTAATGAGGCCATTGGATGTACAAAGAATGGCTGCATATGAGCATTTAAGACTCTTTTTTTTTTTTTTTTTTTTGAGACAGGGTCTGACTCTATCACTCAGGCTGGAGTGCTGTGGCACGATCACGGCTCACTGCAGCCTTGACCTCCCAAGGCTCAGGTGATCCTCCTGCCTCAGCCCCCAAGTAGCTGGAACTATGGGTGCATGCCATCACGCCCAGCTAATTTTTGTACTTTTTTCTCTAGAGACAGGGTTTTGCCATGTTGCCCAGACTGGTCTCAAACTTCTGGGCTCAAGAAATCCCTGCCTTGGCCTCCCAAAGTGCTAGGATTACAGGTGTGAGCCACTGCATCCGGCCAAGACTCTTGAGAAAATACAACACATCAGGGAGATGATTATGATGGCAATCAGGAGGGTAATAAAAATAAACTGAAGTCTCCACCTTACCAGGAGTCTCCATGAATCAAACTAATCAAAATCAAATAATTTAAAGTTCAGGCAAACAAGACAGTTAAATAGTATTAGAGTCCAGTCGGTCATAGACTTTGTTCAGGGTATGATGGTGATTAAGGACCAAAACTTGCTATAAAACAACCTGATTTAAAGAGGCATTCATTTTTGTAGTTGGCCTGGTAACACAGGTCACAGTATCCTGGAGACCCTCTAGAAGAAACATTCAGAGTGGAAAACCTTGGGACAGCCAGGCTTGCTGTATTAGTCTGTTCTCACATTGTTGTAAAGAAATACCCAAGACTGGGTAATTTTTAAAGAAAAGAGGTTTAACTGACACAGTTCCACATGGCCGGGGAAGCCCCAGGAAACTTACAATCATGGTGGAAGGTGAAGGAGAAGCAAGTACCTTCTTGACAAGGTGGCAGGAGAGAGAGAGAGAGCACAGAGGGAAGAGCCTCTTATAAAACCATCAGATCTCGTGAGAACTCACTCATTATCATGAGACCAGCATGGGGGAAACTGCCCCCAGGATCCGATTGCCTCCCACCAGGTTCTTCCCTCCACACGTGGGGATTACAATTCAAGATAATATTTGGGTGGGGACACAGAGACAAATCATATCACTTGCCATCACCATTCAAGCGATTTTCCTGCCTCAGCCTCCTGAGTAGCTGGGATCACAGGTGTGTGCCACCACGCCTGGCTAATTTCTGTATTTTGAGTAGAGACAGGGTTTCACCATGTTGGTCAGGCTGGTCTCGAACTCCACTGCACTCCAGCCTGGGTGGCAGAGCTAGACTCTGTCTCAAGAAAAAAAACAAAACAAAACAAAAGAAACAAAGAGTCCAATTCACAGAGAGAGAGAGAGAGAGAGAGAGAGAGAGAGAAAGAGGGAGAGAGAGAAAGGGGGGGGAGAGAGAAACCAGAGAAATAGAAAGAAACAAAGGCAAAGAGAAACTAAGGCAGAGAAAATTAGACAGACAAACAAGGCTCAGGAGAAGATCTGCAGAGGAATGAGAGAAGACAGGTAAGTGAGACCCAGAGACAGAGGCTGCAGCAGCCTGATGTCCTTGACCACCCGCCTCCAGATAGAGTTGCATTATGTAGACGCAGGTCTCAAGTGCCTCTTATTTTCTTTTCATCGTTTTTCACATATCACAACAGTATCATGCTATATGTGAATCAATGGACTTAGTTTTCTCATTAAGAGTAACACGGGCCGGGCGCGGTGGCTCAAGCCTGTAATCCCAGCACTTTGGGAGGCCGAGGCGGGTGGATCACGAGGTCAAGAGATCGAGACCATCCTGGTCAACATGGTGAAACCCCGTCTCTACTAAAAATACAAAAAATTAGCTGGGCATGGTGGCGCGTGCCCGTAATCCCAGCCACTCAGGAGGCTGAGGCAGGAGAATTGCCTGAACCCAGGAGGCGGAGGTTGCGGTGAGCTGAGATCCCGCCATTGCACTCCAGCCTGGGTAACATGAGTGAAACTCCGTCTCAAAAAAAAAAAAAAAAAGTAACACGGCTGGGAATTATCTGTGTTGTCACAAGAATTTTCCAGGTGTCATTTACAACTACCTGTGGACAAGGTGAGGTGCTTCCCTCATCTTAGAAGTAGGGAACGGTGATGCTCAGCCTGGGGAAAGCACTTGTCCAGCGGCACACAGCTGGGAAAAGGGCAAAAAAAGAAAAAAAAAGAAAGCTTCTGTGAATATTTTGTTCATTTTTTGGTGAAAAAATGAACTCTTTGGTTGAGATGCCAGGGAGAAGTGGCCAGACTCAGGGGTATGGGTGGGGGTGATATTCAAAATATTTAATCAAACATCTCTACTGTTTAGGGCACCAGCCAATCAGAGCAGACCCTGGCTGGGCCACCAGTTAACCTAAGCTTGTCCAACCTGCCTTGTTTTGTTGTTGATGTTCTGATTTGTTTTGTTTCGTTTTAGGTTTTAAGCAGCCTGAAGCCATAGTTTTTTCGTTTTGTCTCTAGTGATACACGGAAAAGAAGGATAGGGAAGGGGCTTCACTGGCCCAATCAGAAACAGAAACCAAGAACCCATGACTGCATTCTTTCCCCTGGACACCATTAACCCTTAGTTGCTGGGTCCTGGGAAGGAGAAAGGGCAGCGTTGGGAGGAGGTGGATGTTGGGGAGGGGCTAATTACCAATCTGCTCTGTAAGCGTTTTGATAGTTTTACGACTGAGGGGTGTGCTGACTAACAGCTACCCCGGGTGTGGATGTGATTGGCAGCTCCGAGAGAAATACGGGGATGTCTTCACCGTACACCTGGGACCGAGGCCCGTGGTCATGCTGTGTGGAGTGGATGCCATACGGGAGGCCCTGGTGGATCAGGCTGACGTCTTCTCTGGCCGGGGCAAAATCGCCATCGTGGACCCAGTCTTCCAGGGTTACGGTGAGGGCCTCAGAGACGCTGGGAGAGGGCGGGTGAGGGGTGCATCAGGGAAGGGATGATACAGGGGGAAGAAGGACTCAGAGCCTTCCAACTTCCTCTGCAACCCACACCTGCCCCACACCCCAGGCGTGGTCTTTGCCAGTGGGGAGCGCTGGAAGGTGCTTCGGCGATTCTCTCTGACCACCATGAGGGACTTCGGGATGGGGAAGCGGAGTGTGGAGGAGCGGATTCAGGAGGAGGCTCAGTGTCTGGTGCAGGAGCTTCGGAAATCCAAGGGTGAGTCCTTGGGGATGAATAGGAAAGAAGACAACGAAACACCGAGAGACGCAGGTGCATGGGATAGAAAGAGAGGTACACGCGGGCAGAGACAGAGATAGATGAAACAGACAGAGGGATAGGGACAGAGGGAGAGAGGGAAGTAGAGAGGCACGGGGGCGGGTAGGAGAGAAACACAGACAGCCAGGGAAAGAGAGATGCCAAGTGTATAGTCTCCAAGAATAACTCAAAGAGGCTGGATGCGATGGCTCTCGCCTGTAATCCCAGTGCTTTGGGAAGCTCAGATGGGACGATTGCCTGAGGCCAAGAGTTGGAAAACAGCCTGGGAAACATAATGAGATCCTGTCTCTACAAAAAATAGAAAAGAAATGAGCCAGGTATGGTGGTATGAGCCTGTAGTCCCAGCTACCCAGGACGCTAAGGTGGGACTACAGGATCACTTGAGCTGGGAAGTTTGAGGCTGCGGTGAGCTGTGATTGTGCCACTGCACTTCAGCCTGGACAACAGAGCAAGATCCTGTCAAAAACGAACAAACAAACAAACAGACCAGGCGCGGCGGCTCACACCTGTAATCCTAGCACTTTGGGAAGCCGAGGTGGGCAGATCACTAGGTCGCGAGTTTGAGACCACACCTGACCAGCGAAACCCTGTCTCTACTAAAAATACAAAAATTAGCTGGGCATGGTGGCACGTGCCTGTAATTCCAGCTCCTCAGGAGGCTGAGACAAGAGAATTGCTTGAACCTGGGAAATGGAGGTTGCAGTGGGCTTAGATGGTGCATCTACACTCCAGCCTGGGTGACAGAGTGAGACTATCAGGAAGAAAGGAAGGAAGGAAGGAAGGAAGGAAGGAAGGAAGGAAGGAAGGAAG